TGATGGTCAATCCATCGCTTTCAACTTCAACTTGATTTTCAGGTGATGCGAATAGAGAGATGTCCCCGTACTTTAGCGTTAGCTCGTACACCGAGCGCTTTAGGTCGTGATTTTCGCGGTCCAGCTTATCCACACTCGTCTTAAGCATCTTGTTCTCTTTCATTAATATCTGCACCCCGAAATAACATAAAGTACTGTGATCAGATATAGAAAAGCGGCACGCACCTCATACTGCGCACGCAGATGCGCCTCAGATGCCATGAGTTGTATGCTAAGGGCTCTGAAAATCGATTAAGTTCTATAGTACCTGTATTATCTAATATTATAGAAATGAGCGAGACGTACTTTATAAAAAGCTCTAATTTCGATACTATGGAGACCACCAAGACGGTCACCGTAGGTGTGCTCGCACTTCAGGGCGCGTTTGAGGAGCACATTTCGATGCTTCAAGGTTTGGATAACATAAGTGTGGCGGGTCAACGTGTGATTGTAAAAGCAAATGCTATTCGTCTGCCCAACCAGCTTGAGACCGTGGACGCACTCGTTTTGCCTGGAGGCGAGAGCACTACGATTGGCAAGGTAGCCGTGCGATGGGGTCTTGTGGAGCCACTAAAAAAGTGGGTTGCAGACGGTCGCCCGATTTGGGGCACGTGTGCTGGCATGATTATGTTGAGCCAGCAGGCAAAGCATGCAGAAGAGGGTGGTCAAACGCTTATTGGCGGACTAAACGTCTCGGTCTCGCGTAACTTTTTCGGGGCGCAAGTGCACAGCTTCGAAATGCTTATAGCTGGTCCACCGGGTCTCGATACTACGCCATACAATGCAGTGTTCATTCGCGCGCCTGCCATTATCTCAGTGGACGACAATATTGAGATTTTGTCGCGTGTGGCAAACGCCAAGCCTGCAGACGGCTCTGACCCTGTGGATGTCATTGTTGCTGCACGCAAAGACAACATTCTTGTCACAGCCTTTCACCCTGAGATTACCGATGACACACGCTGGCATCAGTACTTTATTGAGACAATAGTACTGCCGCGGATATAGATAGAACGCCCTGAATACAGATTGTGCATGAAAAAGACTTGAACACTTAAATTGGATATCAAATTTCTGTATATGAAGGAGTTGACAAGCGAACTTAAATTGTAGTGAAAAATCAACAATGCTTATGAATTCCTACATCGTCTAGCCTTGAACCGCATCAAGTGCGATGCTCGAGTAATACTTGACGTCCATGTCTGAATCATTCACCATTTCCGACAGGCACGGCCTGTACACACGAGCAACAAAAATATTTACTTTCAGAATGGCAATCACAACTTAAAGACTGGTGAGTGACGTACTGAACTTGAGCAGCTACTACAGAAGCATCCGCGAGTTTACACAGCTGCTCTAAAGTCATCGAAGCCACGAACCTAACGTTTGGAATCTTGTCGTGCGCGCCACGGATTGCCAGCGTCATCAGGACCGCCAACAAATCACTTGACACCTGCTCAACAGCCATTTGTTTTAGCGCGTGTAGCACATTAACACGTTCCTGATAGATCACAGATTTTTCGAAGATCTGGTTAAGGCGCGGCATGATGTTTTGAAGTATGTAATCGCTACCCAGCGATTCTAGCAACTGCGGCAAAATTTTTGTGGCACTTAAACGGACTTCGCCCACCATGTCGGTGAAGGCACTGACATAGATCTCCAGCAAGTGTTCTTGAAAATAATGACCACCCAGACTACCCGCAAGGGATGGAATTGACAAAATCACAGCTTCACGCACGCGCCATTGCAAGTCGCGCGCCAGGTCAGCGATGGCTGGAAGAAGCACTGACTCAAATGATGCCATCCACTGTGCAAGAAGTTCCATACGTTTCAATATGTTAAGCCGCACGTCTACAACCTCATCGCGCAAAAAAAGCAGAAGTAGAGGGGCCAGTGTCGACTTAGAAGCGACTTCACCGAGCTTAGGTGCAAGTTCCATACACGCGATAGATACAGCCGCTACAGCAAACAAAATTTGTAAATAAAAACCTATGCCCAACATCACATGATACAGAATGCATACTTCGAACATTATGGGCCGTGTCTTGAGACAGAGCCGACAAGAGCGGCAAAATCTCGGTCGAAAACAGCTCGAACTCAATAATGGAGATATAGCCCGACAAGTTTTTCGCTGCAGCAGCTCGCACTTCAGCTTCAGCGTCCTGTAAAACAAATGAAAGTCTCGCAGATTATAATCCACACTCTTTTTTCTTTGCTGGTAGATTGCTGTCGTACCTGCAAAAGATTAGTGTAGCAGCAAAGAAGCTCCGACTCGGTAATTTGGGTTCCCATAGCGCGCGAAAGCGGAAAAAAGTCTTTGGCGATGCTAAAACGTACACGCCACGAACGGTCCTCGACCGACGACCGCACAATCGGCAGCACTTTTACCAAATTCTCTTCCTGCGACAGCAGCTCGGCAATTGCAGCGGAATTTTCAATGGCCAATAAACGCACGCTGTCTTGGTCGTCCGCCGTTAGCGCGCGAAAGAGTGGCAAAATAATGCTTGATATCAGCTCTTTCTCCATCGCACTAGCAAAACTACCAATATTCGACGCAGCTGCGCGACGCACCATAGGTGTGTCGTCATTGCACACCATCTGGTATAGACTGCACACCACAACAAATATGTACAGCAAAGCTCGTTAGAAATCCTTGTTTACTTTAATAACCATGGAAACGTACTCGCGCAGCTCTTTTTTTCGTCCAGTATCTGCCACCTTCGCGTAGATGGAAGCAAAGAGCGAACAAACAGAAACACGAGATGTAAACCAGTCTCCTTCGGCTAAACGCTTGGCCAGCGGCACCATAACGTCACCCACGTTTGGAATTACGGCCACTACTTTCTGGAAAGAATTAATGGCGCGATCGCGCACCACAGTTTCTTCCACGCCCGCTAAAATTTCAAGAGGCTCTACAAGAGATGCAGCGTGCTCGGCACCACCCACAAGATCGACAAATCCACCGAGCTCATCTGCTAATGCCACGAGCACCTCATCTTCATCTTCCGTAGCTCCTGCTCCACTTAACAATAAAATCGCGTTCCGCATCAAAATCAATCACTACAAGAACTCACCACGAAGGAATGGCAACAAGTCTGAGCGCGTACGTTCTGGACCTAGTGCTAGTGCTACGGTACGTAGGCGCCTCATAGCTTTAATGCGAGTCTCTACCTCATCGCTCTTTAGCTCCTCGGTCAGCAGCGTCATGGGATACACTTCGTCCTCTGTAATATGTAAAATCAGAAGGGTTTCATAATCAATCTCGCCACTCCCCGCACTCTCCAAAGCAAGCTAGACGCACCCATAATATCTGAGGGGTAGGAGGTAGGCTTTAAGTATCGACCCTTAGCTTCTGTATGTCAAGTTCTATCAGCTTTCGCTCGCTTGCTCGCGGTGGCTAATTTTCGTGCTCTCCCTTCTGTTTTACAAAAGTACGAATTAAATTTAGACTATTCAATAAACCTTTTCAGCAATGGCGCCACTCATGTGCGTCGAATGCGAGGACACGGCGGCTGCCATGCGCTGTGAAGACTGCGAGGACGTTTACTGCCCATTATGCTTTAAAGCACAACATCGTTCTGGATCACGATTGCGGCATATCAAATCCGATTTTTTAGCAAAGTGTACTGACGCCATGCGTAATGTCAACGCCACATCTTCATCACATCTTGATACTTCGCAGACTTCTTCAGAACCTGGGAGAAAGAACTTGACATCTTCACCACCTGTAATTGATCCTCCGTCAACTACGACTATAGGATCGGCTGGTAAAGTTATTAGCGCGATAGAGTCCGAAAACAACAGCCACAACGAAGACGACGAGTTGATGGGTGAGATTGATATTGTTCCGTCAGCACTTATGAAGGAGGCATCATACATACCGCTGCGTCTGAACGAGGAAGAACGTGCTCTTTTTAATTTGTTGGATGCAGCTCTTAACGTGAGCGAATACACGGACAAGGTGGACGTTTTGTCTTATCGCTCCCACGTCAAGCGCGTAGTCCATGAACTGAATGAGGTTTTTGGAATCTTGTCCGGTCTCATGATTGCCAATAACTTTCGCAAGGGCCGTCGACTGGTGCAGGGCAAGCAATTCAAGGATAACGAAGAATTTTTTTCTCAGGTCTTTGAGATTGGACGTCGCTATAAAATCATGAATCCTGAACGTATGCGCAACAATTACGGAAAAATGATTCACTTACTGCAGGACGCTAACTTGCGTGAAATTAGAAATTACTTGGGCTTTTCGTGTGTAGCACCTATCAAGACAGTGGCATCGCTGCTCAAGGAACGTCATGCCTTGGAGATGCTCCGTGATACTCGATGCGAAGTTGCGACATCTGTAGCTGGGGCGTATCCTGATTTACTAAAAGATTCAGAATCCTTACAGCGCATTGCGCGTGACAAACAACAAGCCATTGAGGAGCTCGTGCGTGACTACTCGTCGGCGTCATTGACGGAAGAAGAGATTCGGTTATGCCTCGCTTCCATATCTGACAGCCAAAGCTATTTGGCATCAAATCGATCACCAATCACGTGCATGATTAATCTCCTAGAGACGTTTTTTAATCCTGAAAAGGTAGAACCAGGGCTCAGTCTTGAAATTCGGGCTGGAAAGAATGGCGCAAGGCTTAGTCACAGCCATATGAGTCAGTATGAATATGTGCTACAGTCTCTGTTGCTATGGAAGAACATCACAACGTCAATGCTGCGTCTTTGGTGGGTTGTAGAAAATGATCTGCTGGGTGGCTGCATGTACCGTCTTCGTGATACTGGGCAAGGACTTAATCGCATGCAGCAAGCACCCGAGACGTCGCGATTGGTGCACTCAGTTTTACATCAGACCCAAAAGATGCGTCCTCGATGGGTTGGTTCCTCGGTGGTACACCTTGGTGACCACAATGTGCCTAATGCACTCATGTTTATTGACAAATATACGCAAATTTCGCGTATCTTAAGCCCAATTGTTAACACAGTGCACGAAATTCCAGCACTTGCAGAACAGCCAAACACGTCTGCATACATTATAGACAATTTTGGCGGTGCTGAATCCCTCCAAAAGCGTATTTTATGCGATTTTTTCAAGCACGGATTTGACGGCAGCGGTGCTGACAACTTTTTTGATGCAGGCTCATGTATTGATGGTCGCCTTACGAGTGCTTGGAACTGGTGTTCTCGAATAGAAAAAAAACCATTTTTTCACGTTTTCCTCATGGCTGGCTTCGTTGGCTTTGACGGGCACTTCGAGAAATAAACTAAATGGAGATATTAATCTTTGCGCATACATGTACGTCATGGTAGTCATCCAAACTTCCACGTGAAGTTAATCTTGCGAAATTGGATAATGTTAGATAACTTTCACGCAGTTTGGACACGCATGCAAGTTCAATTTAGACTTTATCAATACCCTCGCTATCTTTTAACTCTAACAGGAAGCGAAACAATAATTGCTGACTAGTTCAGCTTCACTACACGTGGGCTTTTCGTACGCATTTTGCACAACACCACGACGCCATTTCTACACCTACCACCTGTCTTATAGTTGGCAAATATAATTGTGGCCGCTTTGGGTGGACATGTAGTAAAATGATGTTGATGAAGCTTGCGAGCTGCGCTGCTGGTAGGCAGTCGTCGGAATGCTTTGACTCCACGTGTGCTCTAAGGATTCATGCTCTGACTCTTCAATATCAGCACGATGCTTTATATAGAGCGCTTGCTCGCTGCCGTATCCTTTTGCTGTCAGTAGCCGTGACGCTTCCTTTGCTCCCATCGTGTTGTTCGTAAAGTACGCAACGTGCTCCAGCACAGGTTCGATTTCTGAGAGCAGGTGCTCCAAGTAGCGGTCGTCATGCGTATCGTGCACCTGCTCTTGATCAACAAAGTATTGCAACTCATTAAATTCTTTACGGTCTACTGATGAGCCATCATCAGCCAAGTTTGTGTCTCTCTCTTCAGGTTGGTTCAGGATACTTTTTGTCGGGGACTGAGACTCGTTGCTGCAAGTGATTCGTTTATCATTAGTCGTGGTTGAGGCACTGGAAATTGAGCTCAACGAATTGATCGAGTCGCTACGCACACGGCGTTTCCATCGACTGAGCTTTTGTCGCAGCTTTTGTGCGTGGGTCATAGCTTGACGAGTAGACTTGGAACCGACACAGGCAGCAATGGCTGTCCAAGGCCCTTGTGGAAACCGCTTAATGGCCTTCCAGAATCGACGTTGCTCAGCTGGGGACCACGCATTTTCTCCCGGTTTAGGCACGGTGAATTGTGTTGGCACAAGCTTAGCCTGGTGTAGCTCATTCATGACCTTGGGCGAAATCATTTTGAAAGTAGAATCAACCCTTCGGTCAATGGCGTGCAGATTCGTGTAATGATTATGCTATGCTTGTTTGGGTGCAATTCGTATAATAAAAGCAGAATTATTTGTAGCATATCAGCACTGATGGCTTATCGTTTGCGTGGCAGCTTTAGACGCTGCAGGATTTGAGCGTCTGGAAGTGATGCACCACTCAAGAGGCGGAGCGCTGAGGTGTTTGACAGGCAAACTAATTTTTTTCAAGCTCGTGCAAAAAAAGAACGTTCTTACTTTGTATACGATAAACGTACATAAAAGATCGCGCGCTTTTAAACAAAATTTTATGGTTGGTCGACACGACGATCAAGAAACCGGCAATATTGTTGAAGAAGATCCAAACTATGTGAGAATCTGAGCCTGCTGCTGCGTTGACTGGTGGAGAGACACGTGCAATTCAGTTTAAGCAATCCATACTTTGGCTAAAGGAGCAAGGCCCTATTTTGACCGAGTGGCCAGATATATAAATCATTTTAAATAGGCACGCTTGTCAGATTACAGACCTAATAAAACAAAAATCTGTTCATTCAATACAAGTCAATGTGAACAAAAAGAAGTCCTCGGCCAAGTCGACTACGTTGCACACGGACATCAACAGCTTGGAAAGACCGGGAGAGTTTAGTCAGCACTGGAGCTGCATCAGTAATACCAGCTCTCCAATATTATTTGATATCGACCATTTTTTATCATGTTGACCATTTTGAGTCAGATTATATTAAATATTGACAAAAAAGGATGCACTTCATAGCAATTTATTTTATTAATTGTATTCTTTCGCCAGGTAAATTTATTTGTAATTATTGCGCGACAAAGCAACTCTCAAATGCGGCAATCGTCTTGCTAGTTAGCATACTCAAATTGCTTGCGTGATTTGCCTTTTATGCATCCGCAATACGTTGTGTTGTGTCGTTTCTACGACGTTGTAAAGCTGTTGAGTGTATCAGACATATGTATCAATCATAAAGTATACTGACTCTCAATTTACAAATTTATCGGTCACACCGCATCTATAACAATCGTGAAGCGTTTATCAGAGTTCAGCCTCGCTTGTGAACAAAAACTTGTTTAAACTTGCAGGTCCTGAGCCCACACATATTTATGCTGGTGCAAGTCTATCCCATTAAGAAAGTTTGCTGCCCGAAGCCATACCACGCCATCTCGATCTCCCCCTTTTATACAGCCAGCAATTGTAAGCCCATACGTCACAGCTACCTCGCTGATGCAACGAGTTATGTATTCTATTATGGCGGTAAGTCAGAGCAAAGCCCCAATGTACTAACCCTGATGAAGTATCATGATAAGGACTGTGGGTTTGTTTATTAGAAGCCCGCCATTCACATCCCCAAGCTGTGGATATATCGTATCTCATTATCATACAGTAAAACATATGTTTGCTTCGTCTCAGACAACATTCGACATAAACTAAACTTTAAGTCGATACGGCACGTCAGTATTGCGGCCGAACCCGTCAACTCCGCTTTACTCCAAGTATACAGCTTGGGCCACCAATAATGGCAACTCGCCGAGCTGTACGTCTTCTCACAACCGAGATGCTTTACTAAGTGGGGTGTCGTGGGCCTCATAGAGGATACGGTATATCAAATCCTCATCGTGAGGAACCGCAATTCGTGGCGAATTTGCTGAATCGGTGCTATAATACAGCAACCCGTTAGTCAACGAATATCGGTGTAACCGTATGCGCAAACGCCGACAATTTCTTGTCCGAGCTTCCAAACTAGAGCCTCGATCATCGCTACACACATAATAATACCCGCGTATGTGGCGCGGATCAAATCCGACACTGACGACGTCACCGTCGTGATATGAGCAAGCTCATAGCCCGGTCTGCGTGACAACGCTTCAGCCAAAGCATTCTGCATTCCTGGCTTATACTTCACCTCTGAGTTATATTCTGCAAAGAATAAGAGTTACCTGGCCATTTTCTGCGAGAAGTGAGGCGACTGAGTCATAATGCTTAAGGACGCATCCTCTGTGTAGATTACAAACGGCTTTATGCCAAGCAGGGATCCTTGACAAGTGCATACTTCATCGCAAGAAATTACTTGTTGTGGACTGAATTGTTCCTCTACGCAGCCTTAAGCTGGCGAAATTCGAACGCGATCACCCGATCTCGCCCCTCGGCGTCTGCTTGCAGCAGTGCACAGCCGATGGCAAGTCCAAAGTGTCACAGCCGACACTAAAAGGACGATCATGGTCTGGCAACGCCATTATTGGTGCATGAAGGAGGCTGTCTTAATCCATGTCAGAAGCCTCCCATTGCTCGGTGTCCCAATACCATTCCGCGTCCTTTTTACAATGGTCGTGCTATTTCTGCGGAGTTCTTGCTGCACGTATACTAGTAGTTGGCGAGGCCAAGCCACTAGTGCGAGTTCTTTTGGTTCGTTGGAACCGGCGAGCGCACAATGGCCTTGATTTTATCGGGATCCGCTCGAAGGCCAAGCTTCCCAATGAGGCACCCTAAAAAGGAGGTTTTTCTGCGCCGAAGACGCACTTATCACCATCAGCATACAGCTTCTTTGTGCGCATGCACTCGAGCACCGCTCTCGAATGGACGATGTGTCTTTCCTCATCTGTCTTTCCGTGTCCTGCGCGACTGTGGACGAAGATATCGTCGAATTATGGCTGTGCATACGCTCGATGGAACCTGAACAATTGCGTCACAAGACGATTTCAAGTTTCTGGTGCATTTGATTGCCCTTGGGGCATCACTAGCCACTCTCAAACGTGGATGTCGAATGGCAAGACTAACTCTCATGCACCATTACTGCCTCGTGTTTCGCAAAGAAAAAGGCTTCACCGACTTCACACTGCTCCTTGGGCGGTGTGTTACGCAGTATTTGGTTCCCGGAACAAGGTCGATCCCATGGCACAAACCTCGGTCTTGAGGTAGGACCGACGGCGGGTTTTCGGAGACGACGGCTTGAACTTCCTTTACAAAAGGGTAGTATGAATCGAGGGATCCTTCACAATCGACGATGCACTTCGTGCGTTCAGCACTCTTTTGATGTCCTACAAAACAGCTTCGTTTAAAAACGACGACGAGTTAATCGGTTAAGTGCCACCCAAGCTCAGCCCGCGAGCCACGCTCGGGACTCCTGGCTAATTTAAATTCGGTGTTTGACAGCTCGAATACTGCGATGTCCAGCGTATTGACCGTCTTGGTCCAGTGCCCGCGCCAAAAGCGCTTCTGCTTCCTAGCAGAGGTGGGTTCATGATTCACCATAGCACCAAGAGGGGATGTGCGCGTAACGCCCAAGGCCATCGACCCCCACACAATTCATGGTTCATGGTGCTCCAGCCATGCCATACTAAGGATGAGGTCATGTATTAAATCCAAGTCTAAGATCCAGCAGCGTTCTACAGTATCGAAGTCAAAGAACTTGACACCGAAAGACACAGGAACCTTCGGCACTGTGACGAATGTCCCCCTCGCTAACGAAGACGATGATACTGAACCGCGCTTCCAGCGCCTCAACCTACAGTGACTTCCTTCGGTCGTGGAGAGTCGAGCATAATTGCCTGACGT